TACTTTCCTCGCCCTTTAGTGTGGGCCAGCAAAGTGACTTGCTTCCACGAGCAGCTTCCTGTCTTGCTCTCGTGAAATACCGCGGTCTGTGAAGAGGCCTGGGTGAGGCTCTTTCAGGAAGACAGGCTCTGCGGAGTGAGAGCCAGCACCACGGGTGCTGAAGCGCCCTGCTTAGGGCACTCTGCCCCACGTTGTCAGGTGACGCAGCTGCTGCAGCGACCTGCGCGAGGCCCGCAGATCGGTCCATCTGAGCCCGGCCCAAATTGCCATCACAAAATAAATTCATCCCCGCGCCCACACCAGAGGGTTCCCAGCATCTGAGGAGGTGGCCTTATCCCTTTTATTATCTGTTCTGCCTGAAATACTCTGTCTTTGATGCTCTTTACTCCTCTGACGTGGTTTCTGGACCTTGCATTTACTTGCTTACTCTTCTCTGGACACGTTCAGGCTAGCCACATTTCTTTGTAAATTGTGTGGCAGTCACAATTGAAACAGTGTTTCAAAGATGATTTGCCTCTTTTATCCTAGAGTCTTGCTGCTTTTCCCTACAGCCCCTTCCCTCCTAATGAGCCCTACGGGCACTCACTCGCTTCCTCCTCTCTTTCCTGCCCTGCTTCTCAGCCCCTCCCCCAGAGGCAACAGTTTTCACACCCCTCAGAGACTAAGTCAAACTTGCAGTACTCCTTTGCATCACTATCCCCGGTTCCCGACCCCTTCTCTCAGCGCTTTGCTGGGCCAGCTTTTTCCGCTGTGGACTATGCTGGCTGTGCCAGGTCTGGCTCCTTTGGGTGGGCCATAAATTCTTTGAAAGCAGCTATTTTCTGTACCTTAACGCTTCACCTGGCACTTGGCACAAGTTAAGTGCTCAATAAATGTTTAATGGGTTGGATAATTAACTAATATTCTTTTGGTATTAAAATATATTATCTACCGGCCCGCATTTTCCCACAAGGCGATTAAGGGAGACTGGAGACTGTCAGATTCCCGTTCAAACCAAGATAGTATGTTCGTTGAATTTCCCTGTGTTCATTGAAAAAGAAAATGCATTTTGTTTGGAATTACTTTTTCAGCGATCTATGCTGCCTTCTCTCTTTTTTTTTGTTGTTTTTGTTTTTTTTCTTGTTGTTGAGATGGAGTCTCCTTTTGTCAACCAGGCTGGAGTGCAGTGGCGTGATCTCAGCCCACTGCAACCTCTGCCTCCTGGGTTCAAGCAATTCTCCTGCCTCAGCCTCCCGAGTCGCTGGGATTACAAGTGCCTGCCACCACACCCGGCCAATTTTTTATCTTTAGTAGAGACGGTGTTTCACCATGTTGGCCAGGCTGATCTCGAAATCCTGACCTAGTGATCAGTTGCCTTGGCCTCCTAAATTGTTGGGATTACAGGCATGAGCCACTGCACCCTGCCCTATGCTGCCTTCTTTTTAAATGCTATCAAGCTTCTGAAAAATTCTGGCAAATATTTAGTTACCATTTCTGGAATGTATATTCACTCATTTTTTTAAAAATGGAAGCATTTACTTTAGTTTTGTCTTTCACCTCCCTCTTATTCATTGCAATACCTCAAGGACTACTTGACATGCACGCTCCAATGTGTTTATTACCGTGGCATATAAACAGTCTGGGTTGGTAAATTTGGCTTCATTATTATAATAGGACTTTACTTTTGTAAAGTGCCTTACTGGGTACAAAATGTTTTCCCATACCTGACCTCATTTCAGTCTGATGAGAAGCTCTTTTTAAGAGGTAGGGATAATCATCTGTTTTTCACAGTTAAGAAAACAGAAGCTCCCAAGTCTGTCAGAGCACCTGAAGCGCTTACTCTATCTGTGGCTCCAAGGCCTGTTCATCCTGTTCTTCCCAGATTAAAGATCATTCTGCTCCAGGGAGAAGACCAACAACAAAAAAGATGCTGAATAGCTTTGCTTTCTCTTTGCATTTCCTGCCTGCCCTTGTCATTCTCCAACCTTTTTTCCTCCAATTAAAAGATATCTTCTTGGCTGGGTGCGGTGGCTCACGCCTGTAATCCCAGCACTTTGGGAGGCCAAGGCGGGTGGATCGCGAGGTCTAGAGATCGAGACCAGCTCAGCCAACATGGTGAAACCCTGTCTCTACTAAAAATACAAAAATTAGACAGTGTGGTGGTGCACGCCTGTAGTCCCAGCTACGCGGGAGGTTCAGGCAGGAGAATCGCTTGAACCCGGGGGCACGGGGTGGAGGCTGTGGTGAGCCGAGATCGTGCCACTGCACTCCAGCTTGGTGATACAGCAAGACTCTGTTTCAAAAAAAAAAAAAAAAAAAATCTTATTCTGAACATGGGCATGTGACTATATTTTGTGTTTGTTGGCTGGATTTGTTTTAAAGGTAGAGTTATGCTGGTGAGTGCTGTAGGGAAAGGGAAGAAGGCACAGTGCTAGGTGTTTCTCCACATTATTAGACCATCATCATCATCATCTAGCAATACAGGTGACATTGTCCTCAATTTTTACAGATGAGGAAAGGAAGCTCAGAGATGTCTCCAGTTCTTACGGAGCATGATATCCTATAGAGCATAACCTTCTGCCAAAAGATAGTACAAGTAAAGATTTCAAGTGGAAACATCTTCTCTTTGAAGTTTTTTTGTACAGAACTTAATAAGCATATTCATTTTGTTTTTGATTTAAAGGGGAGCTTTAAATCATTTTAAAGGGGAGCTCCATGATGATGTTTCTGTTTGCTGTGCTATTTCCAACTTAGAGTGATGAAGGGTAGGAAGGGAGGGGATAGGGGTTCTATCCCTTTCCTTCTCTAGTTGTGCTTTTCTCCCATTTGGCTCAGGTCATCATTAAAACATGACCATGTTACCTAATAAAGTAGAGCACATGCATCACTTACCCACAGTTCATACTCTGTCCTTACAGAGAACAGAGCTCCAAGGAAATGGGCCAGCTCAGAGTTTAGGGGGCTGAGGGAAGGGCTGCAGTGTGAGGGTCTGGTACCCATGGGCAGTCTTGGGCAGGGGCACTGGTGCCTCAGAGAGGAATGGTGCCCAGGAGGAAAGTCACCAGGCCCCCAACGGAGCTTTAGTTTCTTCTTGAGTCAGTCCTGGCTGCTGCAGAAGTCAGCGGCAGTGACTGTACCTCTTAGTTTCAAGGACTGGCAGCACACACTGCCGCCTCTCAGCCCTGTCCCGCTTCCTGTCAAGCAGTGATGCCTTCTAGAGATAATAAGCATCTCTTTTTAAACTGCATTTTCACAACTCCAAACCTGGTGGTCTCAGAATTATGAACTGCTAAATGTTAGAGATGTAAGAAAATGATTTCTACTGTGACTATACATAATTTTTAAAAAATCTCTCTCTCTCTTCACTTTCCAGACAATTGCAGCATGACTTTCCCAGGGCCCTGATTTTCAGCACAGATGATTTTTTCTTCAGGGAAGATGGTGCCTATGAGTTCAATCCTGACTTCCTGGAGGAAGCTCATGAATGGAACCAAAAAAGAGGTGACAAATTATTTTCCAAACTCCTGGGAAACCCCAATGTGCACATAGATTGTGCCTGCTGCAGAATGAATAAATTTTATGGAAGGAATTTAACTGAAAGTTCTGCCGTTTTTTTCCCCCAAAACAGAACATCAGAGCATAACCTCCTTAGATTCCAGGAGAAAGAAAATTATTGATAGTGGGCTCTGAAATAGGTGGCACTGAAGTTGTGTGAGGAGGAGATGAGGGCATCCTGTAAGAAAAATGACAAATAGGGATTGCGCTCACCCTTCCCTCTGATTGTTGCATGTTGCTCACTGTTATATAACATTGTGTTGCAGCAAGAAAAGCAATGAGGAATGGCATATCCCCCATTATTATTGATAATACCAACCTCCACGCCTGGGAAATGAAGCCTTATGCAGTCATGGTAGGAAGAAGTATCATTCTGAATTTTCAGTTATGGACATTTTGTGAGAAAGTTGAAGCATCTGTTCTTTCCTCTTTTTCTGATCTTCCATGATTTCATATTTGCTAACAGTAGTTCTCCCAGGGAGAGGTGAAGAGGTTTTATTTTAGTGTTTCTCTGCTGTTCAATGACTGAAATTTGCTGAGATGCCAGTCTCGCTTGAGGATACAATTTAAAAATAGTCCTTGGCAAATGGTCCTTGGTGTGAATTCTTGATAACTTTTCTGTCTTAATTACTTTCCTAAGGCGAGGCATACAGAGGAGCACCCACTGAAATGTGCAGAGCAATACTGAACTAGATGACGCTCCTAGTGGAGTTACAGGTCACAACAGGACCGTTCTGCCTCTGGTGAGCCGGGGATTTCCACACTGTGTACTGTTGCTGCCTGGGAGTTCCAGGGCAACGGAATATTTTAGTTTAAAAACGGATTTAGGGCCGGGTGTGGTGGCTCATGCCTGTAATCCCAGCACTTTGGGGGGCCGAGGCGGGCGAATCACTTGAGGTCAGGAGTTTGAGACCAGCCTGGCCAATATGGTGAAACCCCGTGTCTAATAAAAATACAAAAATAGCCGGGCGTGGTAGGCGCCTGTAATCCCAGCTACTCGGGAGGCTGAGGCAGGAGAATTGCTTGAACCTGGGAGATAGAGGTTGCAGTGAGCTGAGATCGCACCACTGCACTCCAGCCTGGGCGACAAGAGTGAAACTCCGTCTCAAAAAAAAAAAAAAAAAATTAAATTAAAAATTATTTAAAAATTAAATAAAAACAGATTTAGGATTAACACTGTAACCTTATTGAGATGGTAGAATGCAAATATAAATACAAAATAACTCAGCTCTCCATTGTCAGAATAGCAAAGAACAGTATGATGCATGTAACAACAGTGCGTACATTATCCTTTAGTTGTGAAGTCTATTTGGTCTTTTTCCATACATATTCCATCTCTTGTGATAATGTTTTCTTTCCCTATTGGGTCTAGAAAGGAGGATGGATCCAGAACCATACAGATGGTGCAGGAAGCAGACAGTGGAGTATCCTCCTAGCATCATGCAGAGTGTCCACCCAGTTAAATTGTGCAGTGAATAGCTCCAGACAGGGATCATAATTTTAGGCTTCTTTTTACATTTGGGTGAACTGGCATACCTACAGGTGTGCTTTTCGCTAATGATACACTCATCAGTTCCACTGATGTCCAGATTGTGGGGCTTTGGTGAGTGTAAGGAAGAATGAGCCCCAAACTTGTGGTTACTTCATTCAGTTCATGTGGAGTCTACTTGGGCAGGAAATGAACAGGCAAGGGAAGGGCCAAGTGAATGAAAGCCACCACTTTCAACCAAGTGACAAGTAGCCTAAGGGAAGTCATTTTACTTTTGTTTTTGTTTTCTTTTAAGACAGAGTTTCACTCTGTTACCCAGGCCAGAGGGCAGTGGCATGATCACAGCTCACTGCAGCCTCTGCCCCCTGCGTTCAAGCAATTCTCCTGTTTCAGCCACCTGAGCATCTGGAATTATAGGCGCGTGCCACTGTACCTGGCTAGTATTTGTATTTTTAGTAGAGATGGGGATTTGCCATGGTGGTCAGGCTGGTCTCGAACTCCTGAGCTCAAGTACTCCACCCGCCTTGGCCTCCCAAAGTGCTGAGATTACAGGTGTGAGCCACCGTACCTGGCCTCATTTTATTTTTTATCTTCTGGATATGTATGATCTTTTTCAGCCATCCTCAGCTATTAATTAGACTCAGAAATGAGAGGTTTCCAGTTGTGTTATTTAAATCCTTCCCAATTGAGAAGTGCTCATCTAAAGAATGAAGACGAAAACTTTTTGCTTAGCTCTTTTCACTCTAAATAAACACAATAAATTATAGTGATAATAGAAAATTCAGTTTGAGATAAGGTAGTAGTCAATTTACAAATGCAAAGAATATTTGGATGTTCATATGGAAATTATAATAGTTTTCTAAACTCAAGGAAATGGGGCCCAGTACACTGAGCCAAATTGTACAGCATAGTGGAGAGAGCTACTTTTGGAGGGAAGATAATGTAAAGTAGGTGACTATCACTTTTATTTCACCAGTTATGTTCCTATGGTACTCTCACTTTCTAAAGCAAGGAATGAGGAGTAGGAGCAGGCATCTGACAAGTAAATCTACAAAAATCCTGTAAGTGACTTTGAGAAGTCACTGAGTTCATTGCTCATACCTGTATTTAGGACATTTTAAACTAGCTCAGTCATCAATTTTTAAAGATGCCCAAACCAAAGATCCTTTACAAATTTCCTGCATACTAGATAAAATTGACCAAAATTTATCATTGAGAATTATGATAGTGGCTACGGATGGGAATGAGACAACTGCATTTATTATGATAAATTAGGGCACTGGATTGCTCATAAAACAAAAGGAATTCTAGAAAAGAGTTGTAGTAAATGTTAAATGGCAGCATAAACATTCCCAAACATACATACTATGTCTTCAATGTTTTATGTACTTTTGAAAAATCAGGCACTTGAAAATAACTATGAAGTTATATTCCGAGAACCTGACACTCGCTGGAAATTCAACGTTCAAGAGTTAGCAAGGTACTTCTTTGTTTTTCTAGTTTCTCATTATGTATCCTGCTATTTTCAGGTATTTCAGACCGAACAAAAGAATCTTTTCAGGCTGGAAATGGACATGGTAGTTTTCAGGCCAGAAATGGTAATTCTTGGAAATTGATAACTTTGGAATTATTAATATGAAGACTTAGTTTTGGGTCAGTTTTCTAATATAATGCTAAATGCTAAATCTTGGCTTGGACTTAGTCCTTTAAAAGGATGCACTTAACATTCTGCTAATTTAGCTTCTTCATTAAGGAACATTTAAAAGGCTTTCTCTGCATGGGACTGCACATGTCAATGGTGTTTTTGCATTTAGGCTAAAGATCTTTAGATGTTGAGCAGCCTGTGGTTCATTTATGATCTAGATGCTGCTTCTAATTAATAAAGCAGTAAATGTTCAAATAATACTAACTTGTTGATTGAATGCATGGGTTCGGATAGTCTCTATCTGTATTATTTGATAATGTCTGTGACTTAAAATAGCCAGTGAGATAAGAATTTACTTCTTAGGAGTAAGGCTGGTTCCTCTTTTGGTAATAAGCAGAGAGTGTTTTCAAAGTAGATCTGTGGGCTACTCCATCAGAATTGCCTCAGGTGGTTATTAAAATGCTAGTTCATGGACCCCCATTCAGTAGTTGGAATCTCTGGTAATTATATTTCTCACTATACCCCCAGTTGATTCTTATGCCCACTAGAATTTAAGATTAAATAAGCATCTCCTAGAAGTATGTAACAGGGACTGATCGACATAAATAGGTGATAGATACATGCATGACATTAACAGGCAGGTGTATGATTTTAAAAAAAATCTCATGGTGTTCTTTTATGTCTTGAAGCACGTAATTGAGAGGACCAGAAAAAAGCATTTCTGAAGCTTTAGCTCCTTGCTAGCCTCAGAGTGGTCTGGGGGTGTGCAGGGCAGCATGAAAAACATGAGTGGGGGCTGAAAGAGAACTGCTGAACAAGACGTTATACTTTTGCCAGAGCTAAGTCCTGAGAACACAGACTGCAATATTTGCAATACTTGAGGACTTGTAAAACATAAGTAATTCATTATGATATTCTGCCTTAACTAAATGCATTTTTTTCCCATATAGAAGAAACATTCATGGTGTCTCAAGAGAAAAAATACACCGAATGAAAGAACGGTATGAACATGATGTTACCTTTCACAGTGTCCTTCATTCAGAAAAACCAAGCAGAATGAACAGGAACCAGGACAGGAATAATGCATTGCCTTCCAACAATGCCAGATACTGGAATTCCTACACAGAGTTTCCATACCGGAGGGCTCATGGCGGATTCACAAATGTGAGCTCCTATAACAGAAGGGGCGGTTGTCACCATGGAGATTAGAGGCCTATCTTATTCCCATTCAGAATTTTCCCAAGTCAGTTTCTACTTCGGTTTTTATTATTTATTCTTTGTGGCATTTTAGTCAGAGTTCCAATTCCAGTGTAAATAGGTGAACTCAAAAGTTTCTGAGCAAAGTCATTATATTATCTTCACCAAAATTTGTTAAAGTGCTTCTATATGCATGGTCTGATGCTGGGAATTCTGCAGGTTTGATTAAACAGTCTCTTTCTCTAGGGAAATAATTTGAAACCAAAACTTGAGAACACACCCAAGAACATAATTATTTACATAGTTTCATAGATGAAATAAAGTGTTTATATTATATATAAGCTTCAGTACCATTTTCTCTGAAGTGATCTATTTATTTTTTCAAGAAATTCATCTCCATCAAGAAAGTTGGGAAGGTGGAGAGAAGTGGTTGTGGGGGCGGGGGTGGGGGGCAGGAAAAGTTTGGGTGCCATTGCTACTTTGATCCTCTATGTATCTAAAAATGTAAGATGTGCGACTCTATGATGATACTGATTTTCCTTTAATATTAGTATGCCAGAAAGTATACATCTAAGGGAACACTGTCCTTCAAAGTAGGCACTTTGGGAGGTTATTCCTGTAATTATGTATCATTGTTAAAAATGCTGTCAAATCCTTAAGAGCTATAGGAGCTAGAGGGAAATCAGTGTCCTTACTTAAAAGTCACACCCTGTGTTCTTACTACCACTTTATTTAGCAGGATTACACCTGAATAACTTTTGGCTGCTGTGCTAATAGTGTAAATAAAATAAGGCTGCCTTCATAAAACACTTTTTAAATGAATAGCTAAACAACTTCTAAAATTATGCCTATTAACATGTGTAATTAGTTGGCAGCTCAAATGTTTGGGAGTGCAAGAAATTAAGCACCCCAGGATATAGTTCATACAGGGATATAAAAGCCATGCTCATTTCAAAATGAGCAGTTGATGTTTTATGTGGCATTATTTAAGACAATAAAGTCCTCATAACTCTGGAATGTCTTCTTATACTGACATGGAATTTATGAATCTAAATTAATTTCCAACAGGTTGGGGAAACATTTAATGTGAGACCATGATAGATAAGACCGCAGAGGATGTATGCTCTATATCTTGTTAGCCAACAGCTTCTTTTTAATGTTCTGTGAAAACTTTTAAGTGTCCTATATATTGGTGCTTTTATGGTTATTAAAAATTGTAAATGGTATCACATTTATATGGATTTGTCATTGGATTTTTTGGTTCAACAATAAAAAAATTTAATTACCTAAATGCCAAGAAACTCACCAATATACCAGTTTTTCTGTATAACAGGCTT